ATCTGTACTGTTCTGCTCTACTTTTTTCCTAGCACTTTCTGACATTTGAAATTATACTCATTTGTTGTCTTTCTTCTGAGAATGTGGGCTTGATGACAGTAAGTACCTGCTCAAAGCAGCATCTGTACGCCAAGAAGAGCATCTCTCACACAGTAAGTGCTCTGTAAATATTTGTGGATGGAATGGATTTATCACATCAAGGATTCATCACATTGAGGATTCACCACATCAGAGTCTTAAATGTTTAAAGTAAAAGAATCTTCACTAGTTAATAGAGTACAAATACAAATAAACCTTTATTTTCTCCTGGTCCTTTCTAATATGAATGAAATCCTATTGTTAGATGCAATTTTCTTCCTTAATAGACCTTGGGTTCAGGTTGTGTCCAAGAAGATTTCTTTATTGAGTGATTTACTGGACTCATCTGTCCTGAGAAGGAGATAATGCTCTTTAGCCTGAGTTGGTACAGACAGGGCTGTGTCCCGCTTAAGTCTTGTGTGCTGCCAAAGCCTGAAGCCGGATGTCACCCCTGCAGAGAAGTCTTCCCTTGGCACGTTTCCTATTTCCGGGACTTCCAAGGGGTGTGCACACCTTGCTTGGGCTGCCAGGTAGAAAGGAAGCAGCTTTCTCTCCCAACACTGTCCGAGGTCACCCTCCCTACTGAGATGGTACAGACAACGTGAGACTAGAAGAGCACACTCTGTTATTAATGGATATCCATCCTCATAACCACCCAAGAAGCACAAGGGTACCACCGGCAATCCGAAGAGGAAGAGAGAGAAAAACCCTTGCCTCCTCCATGCACTGGAGAAGATGGAGTTAATGAAATCCTTACTCGGCCATGTTGTCAAGATACGAAACCCAACGTGACAAGAACAAGACTCTGAGGAGCGGAATTACTGGGCTTGTATCCAGAAGACAAGGACGGGTACTTGGCCCAGGGGAGGCAGAAGGGAGGACAGGAAGGTGAGCCTCTCAGGATCCACTAGAGAAAGACTATTGGAAATCCTATAGGAGCTGCTGCCACCAAGACACAATTTTCGTTAATTACCTCAATTGTGGCTGTTATCCCCATAATGAGAAACACAACTTTACTTCTAAGCAGGCAGCGAGGCTGGCAGAAAGCTGAAACCTGAAAATCAGCAGATACAGGGCTGCATACGGCCCCCTCTATTGAAATTAAGCCACATCCAAAACACAGGGCGAGGATTCCAAACAGCTCCAGACAGCAGCCCGCCACGCAGGGCCCTCAGCAGGCACCGGATGGACGCTCTCTGGACTTGTCCAAAGAGGCCCCAATCACAAGTGCTCATTTCAATAACACAAGAAAATAAACATAGGGCTTATTTATAGTACGGGGAAGGGACTGGGGCAAAAGAGCTGCTCGTTTGGTAATCCACCCTGACGGGGCGACAGGATCCAGACCCCGGCTCTCTGGTAACAGGGTAAGCAGAAATAGGGGCCAGCACAGGGCTGGCTGCCAGCGTCGCCAGGTACAGTCTCATTAGAGGCCTGGCAAAGGGAGAGGAGGAGATCTGAGACAGCGTTCCTTCCCGCCAGCCGGATCTGGTGCTCTTGCTGTCTCCTTTCTGGCTGATGAAAGTAAGGCACAGCAATGGACTCCCGGCAGGTCCAGGAAGGGCCAGCATGCCGCTCAGAGAAGGCACAGCTCCAGGGAAAAGCAGATAAAGACCCTCCCCTTATCCTCCATCCTCTGGGGGAGGTGGGGTGATGGAGTCCTTGCTCAGCGTTGGGACAAGTCCACGCGGGAGGACTGGAGTTCTCTGAGACCCGGGCTGCGTCTCCGCTGGCTGCCTGTGTCCGGGCCAGCGCGCTGCCTGGCAGAGAGCACGTGTGGGTGAGATGCTGTCCCACCTCTCCTGGATGGGAAATGTGGTGTTTCCCAGTTGTGCTCAACAGAAAGCCACAGGCTCCTTGAGTTTATCCTTGGGTGCAGGAGCTGATGACTTAAATCTGCAGCTGTAAACACGAGCCCAAGTAGATGTGCTGTAAAGGGAAGGCTTGGCATGGCAGGAAGGCTTGGTATGGCGGCAGAAAAGACCTGGCCAGTGGCTCTGGTCTGTGCCACATGGCTCCGTGGGTAGCCCCATGCCCTGTTCCTCTGAGGAGGCCAACAAGATGGCGCATCACGGTGGCCTCCTTCCGTGGAGTTGGCAGAGCTGTGACCAGGGAGCCAAGTGGTCCAGAGCAGAAGGACAAAGCTACTCCCATGCAGGTGACTCAGCTGTGTCTCAAAAGGAAAGAGGGACAGGGGACCAAGTTTACCTCCACTGTATTTCTGCTGCCCCCAACCATGGTGAAGCGTAAATTAAGATACTGCGACTATGCTGCCCATAAGACCCATGCGCCCTCCCTGGGACCTGGAGCCACACTGCCAAGGCTGAGGGTGACTGGGCATCCATCTACGGAGGTGGGAGAGAAAGGTCTCCCTTACATTCAGCCAGACTCACAGCTCCCATCATAAGCAGAGAGAGGATACAGTCTCAAAATTGGGAGTAGGTCCAGCCTGCCTGCCTTTGCCTTCCAAAGGAGCAGCTCGGCTAAGCCCGTTCCAGATCCTTGGACCATACATGGTTTGTACAACGGGGCCAAACACTGCCCCTGGTTTTACTCAGAAGTAGAACATGGGCGTCCCAGGGCTTGGACAGAGCTCCGGGTGAGATGGGTGGGAACAGCCCCAAAGGTCTCCTGTGCCTCCAGGCCCTGCAGTGGAAAGTTTATCGCTCCCCAAGTCCTCCTGGAGGGACTCGCCTGCCAACTGCTCGGCACGCCTGCCAGAGCGCTCTCGGGAGGAGGTCTGAGGCCAGCTTCGGATTCTCAGCCGCTGCCTGGCCCTGCTAAGCCTCTAGGGGAGCAGATGCTATGGCTTCTCTTATACTGGGCATGACAAAAGAGTAAGGCAAAGAGGAGACTGTCCCTGCAGCAAAGGTTGAGGGCACAGGCAGATGGGGACCCCCAGGTCCCTGGACTACAGTCAGGAAAAGCCTCACCGGAACCCAACCCGGTCTCCGCACTGTCTATGCCTTGATTCTAACTTGGCTGGAACCAACAAGGGTTTTTGCATTTTGACCCCGCATCACTTGTCAGAACCACGACTAGCAGTGTGTTTTTCTGGCCTGAAGGACGCTCTCCCTGCTGCTCCTGCACAGCAGTGACAGTGGGGTTGCCGGGTCACCGGCAACTCCTTCAGCCTCTTCAGCTCCCAGCCCTGCCCACAAAGGCCAAGGGAGGCCACTTCACCCAAGGGCAGCAGGGAACCCGGAAGCTAAAACCCGAGAGTTCAAAGCCCAGTGGAAATAGATGAGGCTTTGGCAGAGAAGTGGGAGTGGACGGATTTTTGAACTGGGCGATGGAGTAAAGGGGGGAGACAGCAGAGCCTCGCTGGCAGGAAGGAACCAGAGACTGTGAGACCGAAATGCTATTTCCCTCTTTAACCTTCCCAGACAAGGTGGTTTGGGCCTAACCATGTTTTCATGGTAAAATCCATGAGATAAGAATATTAACAACCATCTCATGTTTATTCCACATTCTCTTTATTCACTCAGATGCTGACAGACATTTATGTGGTCTCCATTATTTGGTTATTCTGAATAATAACCATCTAATGTTAATCAGCCAAAAAAAAAAAAAAAGGTATTTCCAACCCTGACATTGCAGGCGGGCCCATCCCAGCAAGGTCCCCGGAGAGAAGGCAGTGGCTTGGTGTACACACTTGGGCCGGGGCCAGTCTGCCTCTTCTATAGGCCAGTAGGACATAATTTCTTTAAAAAGATTTCTTAATCTAGAACCAGCTGCTGTCTGCTGTAGGCCTGGACATGACATTTTAATTAGTGGCATTGTTCTGCTCCTGCAGCCAGGCTCCATGGCATCCCCAGGGGCAGATAGTCCTGACCTAGCTCGTGGGTGTGGGTGAGGCTGAGGCCACTCACAAGGGGACGTAGTCCCTTGTCCTTGGGATCGTTGAATCCTGGTCGTCTGCAAGGAGCCTGTCCTGCATTTCAACTGTGACTGTACCGCCTGTCCCTTCAAAGACAGAATCTCCAAGGTCCAAGTGCCCAGGATGCAATACTCCTACCTACCATCTAAATTACTTGGCGCTATGTTGCCTGATCTAACTCTAATAGTTCTGGAAATAGTGAAGTCCTTTAAATGAAGATTTAAAGTCCAGGGACTCCTATGAAGGTCATACGGGATGAGAGGCCAGGCTGACAGCCATGTCACATGGACCCACTGTTGGCCCAGCTTTTGGTTTCTGTGCGACTTCAATGCGAAGCCCAACCCCCACACCCCCCATGTGTGCCACACATCTTGGAACCAAGCTGGCGACCCCCTAGAAAGTTAGAGGCACTCACTGACTTTGTAGCTGTGGGACCCGGGTGACGACAGAAATCCCTTTCTCTGGCTTTCTATCTGTTGCTGTGGAAATGAGACCCAAACGCCTTCACCCATCATTGGCTGACAAGTGGGTATTCTCTGAGGGAAACGCTGATCAACCTCTGAGTCTGAATCTGCACTACGGATGGCCCAGGTGACCTTCCTGTCCTGTCCTGTCCAGCAGCTGCTGCCCGGGAGTCCATGGCTCCGTGACAGGAAACGAGATGAAACCATCATGAGCTCTGCATTCAATGCTGCTGCTATGTGCCAAACTCTTCTCCGGCCCCTGCACTGCGGGCCCCGGGCACAGTGACTCCTGTTGACCATGGCACGGGTCTTGCCCGCCTCCACGCTGCTCGGCAGAACAATGGCAGTGCTCGAGTGACTTCAACTGGCACACAACTGGGTTTCCCTAATTATATCCATATTCTAAGCAAATTGTGATGTATTTTGTGTTTCTGGGGACATATGTTATGGCTAAAGCCCAAACTGTGGCTAATCTTAATATTAGAGCCAGATAAATCTGTTTCGGATCCATAACATTTAACATTTGCCAGAGTAGATTTGTTCATCAACTGGGCTTAAAGAGGTATAATTCACACATGTGCAGTATTACTAAATGCTGAAATTTAATGATTTAAATATACCGGCAACTGTTGCAGAGTGGTTGTTATAGCAGCATTTAACGTTAGCCAGAGCCTCCCTGGCTAATGTTACAAAGAATGAGGGAAATTTTGGCATCCTCTATGGGGGGCGGGGGTCACAACTCAACTTTTATAATACGGTACCCGCTAGGGCAACTCAGTACATGGCTATCAGAGGCCCTGCTTTCCCCAGAACCCCTGTAAACCAGTGAGTGGACCCTAGCAGCAATCACATGGATTCCCTTGGGGCGTCCGGAGTCGTCCGCACTGAGAAGGGATGGTTATGATTTGGGACCTCCGTCCCCTCGATGCGCGTGGGACCACATCTTCCTCCTGGCTGTGTCTGTCCAGACTGCTGTTGCGAGGCCAGAAAGTGGAGTTAAATACACCAACAGGGATGGTTCCTTGGTATCCCAAGAATCAGCGTTTGAAGCACAGCAGAAAAAGGAGTAAAAAATTACTTTAATCATATCAAAACACCACCCGTAAAAGAGCGGCTGAGGGACTGACAGGCGCCTGGCCCGCCCAGTGCCAGGCCAGAAGGCACAGACTGACCCTAGAGAGGCGCTGGCTCCTGCACCTTCCGGCTTGGCTGCTCCTCCGAAGACTCAGAGATATGAACTGCGGGAGGTGTGGGCACCTCCTCCCTCCCGGGATACGGGGAGGTCAGGCGGCCTACAAGGTGCCTCAGTGGCTTTCTTCCGCTTAGTGAGTCCGGGAACCCGGAGTGTGCCGTGGGGGCTCCCCACCCTTCTGGAGGCACCCGGTCTGTCAACCTTCCACCGCCCCATGGTGAGTGCCGGGGGCCCCAGCCCCGTCCTGCCAGCGCCTCCCCGGACCCCTGCCCGGCGCGCGTCACAAGCTGCCGATGTTGGGGAAACTCTTCAGCTTCTCAGGAAAGTCGTCCTTGTACAGCACGGGGTCTGCTCGGTGCTCCACCACCTTGAGAGGCATCGTCCCGAAGACTGAAGCGAACTTGTTGATGCACTCAGACCTGGGGTGCGGGGTGAGCAGGATGAGGGACAAGCAGAGAGGGGGCAAAAAAAAAAAACAGCAGAGATGCTGAAAGAGAACACGCAAAACCCATCACGTTTGCCACCAAGCAGCTCCAGCCTGCCGCTGGGCTTCAGACAAGGCTGAGGTGCCGGGAAACCCCAGCTGGGGACAGGGAGCAAGGGGTGCCCTTTGAGGCTGCCCAAAGGCAGGAGCCTCCCCTCCCCCCCGAATTCCAGTCATTCCTCCCGCTCAGCACCAGCAGGCCTCAGAAGAAGGTGGATTAGCTGCCAGCAATCCTTAACCCCCTCTCTGCCAGTGGGAGCACAGGCGGAGACAGGACAGGCCACCTGGCCTCAGGCTCAGCGCGGCGGGGCTGCAGAAGACAAGAGGAGATAGGCCAGAAGCCCTCATCCATTCGCCAGCCCGCAGCGGGAATGGCAGCGCGAGTGCGCCCCCGTTTACCCCTGCGGGCTTTGGTAATCTGCGCGGTTTCGGTCACTCTTGCAGTAGAGCCTGCAGCACACCAGGCTTGGCAACTCCAGCGTGGCTGCTACAGAAGGGGATGGGCTAGATCGGATGGAGCTCGGCCCAGACCCCAGCGCGGAGAGCAAGCACTCAGGGTGAGGGGTCAGGGCGTTTCGCTGGGACGGCTCGGCTCCATCAGGCCGACCTAGTGTGACAGCTGGGTAAGGAGGACATCACCAACCAGCGGCGGAATGAGCCCGGGAAAAGCGTTTGAAGTGCGGGGAACTGCAGGATGGATTTCAGAGAGGTCAGCGCCCTCCTCAGCTGGGCCTGGGCACCTGAGAGCAGCATGAGGACAGCCGGGTAGACGCCAGGTCCGCATGTGACCTCAGGTCTCCTCTGTCCTCTGACAGGCGACTGTAGGCTGCTTTCAAGTTACTGTAATCAACAGGTTCTTATCCAAGACCTTTGGGCCTCGGGAAAAAATCAATTACTAAAGGCTACGATCAACTCTTTTCTCTTCATCACTATAGAAATGAAAATATTACCACTTCATTTTGAGCTTTAGAAAACAGCATCATCACACCCACCAGGAGCACAAATCACCATGTGCTCAGGCTGTGTCAAGAGTACTTGGCATGCACGGATGACCCATGAATCCTCACAACAGCCCTAGGGGGTTAAGTACTCCCCTTCCTCCTATTTCACAGTGGGGAGACTGAGGCACGGAGAGGCTAAGCAACATGTGCAAAGGTAAATAAAAAAACTCCAGAAGAGACAGAACCAAACCCAGGCATCCTGGCTCCTGAGGCTAAAGTCTTGATGAGGAGATGCTTTTTTTTTTTTTTTGGCAGTGCTGGGGATGGAACCTAGGGCTTTGTATGCTCTAGGCAAGCAGCCCCAAATGTATTTATAAACATAATTCTGGAGTCCAGTGGGAGGAGCTGGAAGCTGCTGGTCTCTCTTTTGTGCCAGATAACTTATACACGATTATTCTAAGTATTCCTCCCCTGGCCCCACTGGTTTTATGTTAGCCTCACATCATGGATTAAGAAAACAAGGTCCAGGGAGGTTGAGTAACGTGCCAAGGACCCTGAGCTAGAAAGGGCGGACCTGGGCTTCAAAGCCAGCCTTGCACCGGCAGTGGACGCTGGACTTAGCATCACACTACCCTACTTGCCAGGAATGAGCTCCCCTCCTGCTGGCACTCTTAAGACTCAGGACGGCCTGGGGTTCCCCACTGCGGGAGGTGGGTGAATGCTGCGGAGTTCTAACAGAACCTGGCCCCCGCCCTGGCCAACAGCTTCCCCCGCTTTATGTTGGGCTCACGGCAGTGGCAGACCAGGCGGCACTGCTCCAAGCTTTCGCTCGGACAGAGTTCTGCTTGGAAGCAGGGGCAGTTTCTCGTTGCCAGTTGTGGTACACACAAATTCTGGCCCGGCCGTGCCAGCCTGGGTACCAGGGGGTACGAACAAAAGGGTGCTGGGTCCAGGGAGAGGATGAATAGCAATGTGTCCTCTGTGGCCAGACCAGCCAGCAGGGCACGGGCCAGCCCGGCTTGCTGACAGCCGCGCTGGCTAACCAGGCTCTGGCAAGTGCTGCTGGCAGGGCAACGCACTTAGTCCAGGCACTGGCGGACTGGCACCATCGCTCTGCTCCACATGGTGCAGGTCCTTCCTCTGCCCAGCCGGCTGGCGGTGTCCTACTTCCTTCTCACACAGGGGAACTATCAGGAGCAGCGAGGGTGGGCAGAGCCTGCTGGCTGCTGGTGGCCACCCGAGTTGTTCCGCTGGGGGTCCGGCTCCCCTGTCAGCACTTTTCCCTGTGCTGCTTTTCCAGTCAAGCACACACACACCGAGTGCTGCCAGCATCTGCCTCTGCTCTGTTGGACGCATCCCGGGAAGAGAGGCCTGCGAGTTCAGTTTTCCTTCCAAACACATGCCATTACCGAAGGTAACTGGGAGCCTCCAGGACGAATGCTGGGAAGCTGGGGGAAGCTCACACTGCCAGGCACTGCGCCGCCAGCACTCAGGAATCTGGTGCACTCATGCCTGACACACAAGACCCTGCTTGCCGCAAAGACGCTGGACAGTTTTTGAACCCATGAGTGGACAGTGCAGTCCTGAGATATTAGTTCCCCTATTTTAGCAGCTGAGAAGGCTGACCGTCAGGGCCAATTTCCTTAGGTCAGACAGCTAGTAAGTGGGAAACTCATAACCTCAAGCAAAGACTGGCCCGCACTGAAATACCGAGTTCTTAAATCGAAGCTGTCTGCCTGTCATATCACCCTGACCTTGGTGAAGATATTGGTTAAAATGAATAGCTATAAATTCTTCTGGTTCTTAAAGAACCAGTAGCTTCTGGAAACAGATACTTGGTAGCAAAAGCTATTCTCCTACTTAACTGAGAATTCTGATCCCAGACTCCCAAATACAGGAATAAATAAATACATCGAACCACAAAACGCAACACAAGGTCAAATGCTGGGAAAGTAGTTAACGACTTCCACTGTTTTGTGAAAAATGTGCATTCTGTAAAGGGAACCATTAAGAAATAAAACAAGCGAACAATTCTACAGTCCAAACTATCTCTTGGGCTGCCCAAGGTGGCTTAAATTGTATCTTTATCCCTCCCAACCTAAGCCCTTTATTTAATCATTCAGTGCCTCAATCTTTAATGCCAACAGTTTTGCTTACAGTGCTAATTCTGCTCCCTATTGAATCTCTCAGAGGGGTACTTTACAGTTACGAACTCCTGTTCCTCAGCACCACCCCTTACTCTGGAACTCTTAGACCTCGTCGCTCTCGGAGTCACTTTTCCAAGGTCCTCCCTTGTTCCTGGCTCTGCAGACCCTGGTTGTCTCTGGGCCTCTCCAGGAGCTGCTTCTGTTCTCAGTTACTCTGTCACCTGAATGTAAGAAATTATCAAGATTCGGCCCTGGGCTTTTCTTTAGTCAACTGTTGACTCTGAGCACACAACTTTCAAATATCTCTTGGTTTTAAACTTCATTCTACAGTTCAACTTCACATTGCAAACTGCTGCTCAGTATCTTACATCTATATACGGAGGGTGAGAGCTCAATGTCACACACCTTCTCTCTCTCCGATTTCATGCATGGTTAAAATCTCATTGTTCACTAAATTTAGCCCAGCTCCCCCTTGAATCTAACCTAACCACTCCCCTCCCTCCCCTCTTAAGTAGATCATTGATACTGTCCAAGGCACTACCACCATTTCTCTTATTTGACATCGAAACTATCTGCTGACTTCTTTTTGGTAACCTCCTCGTACCTACGCAGTTGGAAACTAAGTTCTGGTACATCTTCCTTTGGAAAAAAAATCTCTTACAATTCAATGCGTTGCCTCCTTTCCACATCCAGCTTGGTTCAAAGCTTCTAAACCAGTCATCCTCCACTTTCTTCATTTCCCATTCCAGCCCAAGCACTACTTCCGATCTCAAAGCAATTCTCTCACTAAGTCAGTCCCCTGTTCAAACTCCCTCTAAGGTGCATCAGAGCCTGAAGGAAAAAGTCCAAGCTCCTCACGTGGGGGTTCCAAGCCCTCTGCAGTGTGGCACTAACCAGCTGGAATTCTACGTTTTAGCCAAATTGACTTTCTTAGTGGCCAAGTTAGCCTTGAACTTGCTGGTCAGGCCCTTCTGAGAGCACGGCATCCCTGCCCAGAACCTCCTGTCCACCCAGAGTGTCACCTATTGGGATCCTGGGGATTGCTGAAGGCTCCCTTCAAGTCATTTCTTTTACCAGATTATTCTGAATAATGAACCCGCTGTTTCCTCTCTTTCCTCTCATCATTTACAAGAAGTAACACTTTCAGCTTCCCTTGGGATGCTTGTGAAAATTAGCTTTGGATGAAGTACAAGTGCAGTGTGCTGTTGGTATTACAAACGCTGGTGCGAGCCTTCCAAAGAGGCCTCTTCTATTTCCAAAGCTCTCTTCCAAAGAGGAAGCGTCCATACCTCCCTGAGCTACTCCGTTCAGTGCTGTGATCTCTAACTCCATGCCAGCTCACTGCCTTTTCAGCCTCTTTCCATCGGCTACCCTCTCAGCTGTGCTAGGGAACAGTCATGTGCCTCAGCAAGGAACGCGAGGCCACCAGCAGGTCACGTTTGTCCCCTCACTTCCTTGCCCTGCCACCGTTTCAGTTCAACCCAGTAACTGCTTGGCTGCAAGCTCTGAATTCTTCCCAAACAGAGAATAGGGTAGGTTTAAACACCAACTGCATGGACTCCACTGGAACCACAGTGAGTCTCTTCCAAATGAGCTATGACTGTTAATGTCATTGCCCTTAAACTGTGCGACACTCATGATCATCAATGACAGGTAGTTCCCAAACCACAATAATGTTACTTCCCATCAACGGTTGCTAACAGTCATTTCTGGGGATAAGATATTTCCATATAAAAGAAACAAAGTGAGCTGGAAAGTGGCGCACAAGAATCCAAAGCCAAGAGCAAAAAATTCTGTGTACAAAATCCCTGCGGCCTGAAGGATTTTATTATGGTGTAGAGACTTCAAAAATGAATTCTACAGCAGATGCACACGAGAGCTACGAACAGTCCAGACATCTCCTTCTAGGCTGTTATAAAATTCTTGGAGGACCCTGTGGCCCCTGGGTAACTGTTCCTGGGATGTCACGGCTCGCTGTCTCCCTAACAGCTGCCTTTGGGAGAATTAGGCTCAGTTCAGGCATTTTGAAGCCTGGGGCCTCCTGGAGTTCAAGCGGGAAGTATTAGATCTAGTTGGAGATTTTCATGGTCTTGGGGAAAGACACGGGTCTTTTACTTCTTTCATATTCCCCTACAAGGCCCGGGTCCACTCCATATGACGTGTGCTTCTTGAGTAATTGATGGAATTGGGCTGAAAAGGACTATGTTAAAGCCCTCCCTCCCTCCAAAAAGAAACTCTTTGATTCCATTCTTGGAAGTGGTTTTAGTAGCATCAGTAAAGGTCATTTGTCTCTGGTGGGTTTGGCTTCATTCTTTCTCCCCAAGCTTCTACTATAACACGGAGATACTGGCCTGCGAAACAACCCTGTATTCCCTTGGAAAGAACAAGCTTCCACTGAGTGACTGCAGTTAGTTTACTGCCTAGTCCGTAAGGAGATTTTGGCTTCTGGAGCTTATGGCCAGCTATATTTTTAAGATCCCTGCAGCCATTGCAAATTGAGCGAGGAGCATTCCAAATTAATTCTTTGGGTGACCTGGGCTTGAACTAACCCCATTTCCACACTGCAAAAGGAGGTGACTATGGCTACCAGCTGTTGTCCCTATATCTCCACTGAAGTCCCACAAACCGGCCACGGCGGCAGGAGGGGAGCGCAGGCCAGAGTAGAGTCTGGTCGGAGGTGTACTCACCTCTCCACCATGTGTGTCTGGTCCAGAGAAAGCCCGTCGATGGCCGTGCACTCTGGACACTTGAATTTCTTCCGTGGGGTCACCTGCCAGAGGAGCAGACAGACCTGGCGGTCAGTGCCTAGGACTATAAAATCTGCTTGTGCCACACCACATGCTTCTGTGCTGGGAGCCGAGATGCTTCAAGCGTGTGTGAGCACGCCGACACTGACACACATACACACATGCACACATGCGTGCACGCACACCTCGCTACTCTTCCATTTGATTTGGGCTGGCTCAGCCAACAGTGGAACTCACAAGGGCCCAATAAAAGAGGCTTGGAGGCTTTTGCCTTCTGTAACTGGAAAGAAGTGGTGATGACAAGCTCCTTAATTCCTGTTTAATGACTGTTTTCTCACTGCCAAGGTCCTTGTATAAACACCATTTGTTCTTGCAGCCATAAGGGCGATGAAATACAGCTTCCCATAACTTTCACCGTAACCTTAGTTCCAACGGGGGTGCTTTCTCCTCGTTTCTGCTAATGGCAGATGCTATGAGCAGCACTCTGCTCTTGAAGATGCCAGCTTATTTGGCAATTCTCTCTAGTTAGGAAAAGGAATGCAATTGTCTCTCACCCTGTGATCCCTTCCTCCGACTCCCCTCCGCCCTCCCAAATCTTAAACTTCTAGCACCCCCAGAAAACTCAGGGAAGGCTGCGATCCTAACCTAGGGAAGACGACAAGTAGGGGAAGGATGGGAAGGAAAGGAGTCTCGATAACCAAGGCAAAACTAAAATGCAGAGAGACACTATCCAGAGGAAGCAACCATGGCCAAAAACACGCTGAAAGTGAAGCTGGGGTGGGGGCTTCCTGAAGAACAACTCGCATAGTTTACACCCTTTAATGTTCCTTGTAGTGAGCTGCTGGGTCACTAAGAGATCGGAGGGACAGGGAGGGGACTGGTGCTTTCTCCTCTTTCCACGTCACCCTGTTTGCTGCCGAGTAACTGGTGAGGATTCATCCAGGCTTCCAGCATAAGCTCCCTGAGGAAGTACCGAGGGGAAGCTGGAACTGCCCGTTTTCCTACCTGGAATTCTAACCAGGAGGAAAGAGGTCAGGATGCTGCTACCCATGGAAAGAAGACTGCTTCCTCTCCATAGCTAGGGGTCTTATTTCAGCCAAGTCTGAATTTCAAGAATAAACAGACATTTTCTCAGGTCTAAAGACTACCCCATCTCCACAAGATCTCTAGCTCTTCTCAGCTTTTAATATGCCATCGGAAAGATACTTTTAGAAACTGGTCCTTTGGTAGTTTGAAGCAAGGTTTAGGACAACTACAGTTACATAATTATACAAGGATCTGTATAACCAGGCCAATATTTCATTTTCAGTTGTAAGAACGAACTCCACTTTTCAGGACTGGAGCAGAGACTGGCCCGAGAGAGCCAAGCGACACCGTGCCGGAGCCTCTTACCTTGATGACAGCTTTCCCTGTGACATTAGCTACCAGGAAATTCATGGCAATGTCTTCACAGTTCATATGCGCATCCACCCAGTTCTTGATATCCCCAGGCATTTTGTAGGTATACAGGTAATTAAAATACTGTCAGGGAGACAGAAAGAAGAAACATGCAAATAGTACTTCCTTTCAGCTGACACATCAGGACAACTAAGTGAAGGCATGAGAACAGGCTTTCTTGGGCCGGGGATATAGCTCAGTGGTACAAGCACCTGCCTGGCAAGTGCAAGGTCCTGAGTTCAATCCCCAGTACCACACACACACACAAAAAAAAAAACCCAAAACAAAACAAAACAAAACAGAAAAACAAAAAACTCAAAGAGAACCGCTTTCTTGTGCAAGATTAATCACAAGGCTGTATCAACACAAAGGCCAGAGGAAGTACGAGAGTGCTGGTCAAGTGACCCAGCACCTGTGACATGGGCATTCTTCTGCAAGGATTACATGTGCTTTTTCAAGTGCAACAAAACCGAGACATAGCTGAAACTACAACAGCCCCCATGTGTGAGATAGTGTAGAATGGGTCAAAAATAAATCTGTAATATCTACACAATAATCAACAGTATGTACACACACATTCAAAGAATTATATTTATTAGGGCTTCTTGTTTGTTTTACTAACAGTAAAACCTATTTCTGGACCCGCTGGCCCTGAAAAATATGAGGGTAGCACTGCTGATCTAACAAGAAACAATAGATATAAAATAGCTAAATTAAATTAACTGTGTTGAGTTGAACAGACCTTTCTTCTGACATCAGTTCCTCATGCCCGGTTTAATTAAACCACATGCTCCTGGGGAGCACTCTATCAGTAAACTGAATATTCTGAAACCAAATGCAAACAGGTTATTTTCCAGTCTCTACCTAATAAAGTCAAAACCATAATGTGATGGTTCTCAGATGAGAAGAAGTGCAAAAAGCTAATAAATACACAAAGGAATTTTAACCTCACAAGTAATCATGTAAATAGTAATAGGATTCACTTTTATCCAAATAGCTAAGGTTAATTTTTAAATACATTTTATGCAAGGGAGGATATGGTAGGACAGTTTTATATTGTGCTAGTGGGAGTATAAACAGGTACAAATAATACTGAAACTACATTATCTCTCTTTATTTATTTATTTTTTTCCAGTACCGGGAATCGAACTCATGACCTTGCACTTGCCAGGCAGGTGCTGTGCCGCTGAGCTAAATCCCCAGCCCAATCATTTCTCTTTAAAAAGCCCAAAATGTAGGTTTCCTTTAACATAATTCTACTGGCAGGAACCCGCCATAATGATCATGAGTATAAACAGAAAGTAGATATTAATCACTGAACATTAGATATGAAGCATCATCTAAAATAGAAATAATTAGAAGTTTAAATATCCAACGAGAGAGAAATAGTTATACACGATTTATGGAGAATGATTTACGATATAATATCAATTTGCTAAGAATTAATTGCTTATGAAATTTAGTAACATGAGAAAATGCTTGTGATATAGGGGACTAGTCAGAGTATTTACAAGGTCTCTGTGTATGCAAGAATAGATAAATAAAAGGCAAGCTGAAAAACAGCGTCTGTAGGTAATACAGTGATTGCTCACAAATGCTTTCGTTTGCCAACAATTTGATACCCAAACAGAAGCATTTGGCAAAATTTTGTTTTTGTTTGCATACTCAGCACTGGGTGACAAACATGACTGCAGTCATCCTTCCCACAGAAACACACACGTGGTTGTCTTTTCCAAAATCGTAGAACAAATTAAGTTCGTGAACGGAGGTAACACTGTAATGGTTACTGCTAAGTGACAGGATTACAAGTAACAGGGATTGTCATACTTCCTACTAAAGCAGATACTGCATTTATAATGAGAAAACTAATACATTTATTTAAAAAGGAATATGGTAAGTCCCTAACTGACGAAGGAGTTCTGTTCTGGGAGAATGTTTAGAAGTTGGATTCATTCATAATCTGACAAAGTGAGTTTTACACAGTGCAACTGTAAATCTTTTTTTTTTTTTCTCACAGTAGGAAAATTTGCTGGAGAAAAGGAATGGGGAATGGGGAACAGAAATAGCTCCTGACAGATAGGAAGAGTCCTGAATGGGTTACCCACACCTGTGCCTCTTATCAAGGACACCTGTGAAAGTTTGCCACTTGCATGTTCGTAAGTCTGAGATTCACTGTATCCCATGGCATGGTTTTTCGAGGCCCTCTGAGGAGAAGGCCTTTCTACACCCAGCAGCAATGAGGCCCAGTGAAACGTGCAGCCCCTGGGTTCCATGGCCCAGCCTGCACCTCCTACCTTGTGGTAAAAAGCTGCTCCCGTGAGCACCATGGACACCTCATTAGTCCACTCTGACTCGTACTTCCATTTATTCATCTCATGGTCCCAGAGATGCAGGCGGCCCGGGTAGCCCACCAGCCGATCAGGAAATTCCCGCCAGACCTGGGGAGCGAAGCACATCCACAGTCACCCCCAGGCCAGGTGACAAGGAGGGACAGCATGGTTTCCAGCAGGCTTCTGAGGCCATCCAACGGCTCCTCTGCCGATGTGTGAAGACAGCTACTGAGTCTGATTTCCTCCAAAACTTCTTGTGTGTGCTTGGAAATTTCAAGTACTACGGCAGCACAGCTTATCATGTTGGCAAGTGATTAATGAAGCAGGTTTCATTCTTAGTGAAGGTACAAATGAAGAACCAAGGGAACCCTGCAACTCAGCTGCCCTGATTTGTATTAAACGGCTCATTCTGAAAATTTACAAGAAGTCTCTGTTCTTTTTATTTAAAAAAAAAAAAAAATCCATTTTTCCTGAGCACACACCCATCCTTACAACCCAGTCAAAGCCTACAAAGCACTGCAGAGGATTTTTCTGATCCTGCGTGCTGTGACGTACTGAGCAGAGGTGCTGGTCTCTGTGCTGGGAACACCTCTTAGGCAGTTCTGTTGGAAGAAACCAAACGCAGTTAGTTCACAGGTGATGAGGCCCTTCTCAGACTTTCCCCACGGATTTCTGCATAATGGAGCTTCACCTTTACAGGAACGGAGGCCCCTAGGATGACTGCGCACTGACTTTCTTTCTGCTGGCTGTCCGTGCACCTCTTCTGTCCCCAGCCACCGACAGACTTAAATAACGGGTCTCCTGAGGGGCCGGGCCTAGGCCCAGCTGGCTTCTCTAAGCCCCTCTCTCTAAGGCATCACATCTAGTTTCAGTCACTTTAAAAGCCACCCATAATCGGATGACCTCTGACATATGTCTAGCCCCGAATGTTCCTGAGATAACCAACCTCTTGCTAGCTCCACCTGGACAAAGAACACGCATCTCTGGCGTTCCATGTCCAAAACAGAACTTTTGATCCCCTGTGCCCGACAAGTCCCCCCCACTGCCTCTGTGCCAGGAAATGTGCAGCCGGCTGCTGGGGTCACTGTCGTCCCCTCTTGTCCTCTCCCTCTGTCCACCAGCGCAGCCCACTGGCTCTGCTTGTGACCACCTCTCACCTTCTCTGCTATCACCTGACCCGGCATCCAGGGACAGCCTTCAACGGTGTCCTTGCCACCATGCCTGTCCTTCCAACCCCCAGGGCACAGCTGCTCTGTACGGACTTTTCCTAAAGAATACCGGGTATTCTGCACAGGTCAGTCCCACCGGCGGCTCTCCCTATGTCTACCCGCATTTCACTGGGCATTCACCTATCGGTACGAGCCACAAGGGTCACATCCCAGTGCACTGCTGCTGAGTGCTGGGACGGTGTGCCACCACCAGTCCCCAGCGTATGGCCCATATGCAGGCAGCCCCCTCCTCTTTTCTATTTTTCCAGGGTGCTGTAATAACCACAGACGGGGTGCAGACCAGCAGAAACTTGTCTCAAGTGCTGGGGCCCAAGGCCAGGAGTCGCCAGGTCCACACCTGGCGGAAAAGATCCACACCTGCAGGGAAAGATCTGCCTGTGCTCCTGGGCCTGACTGTCTCCCGTCCCTTATGGCACTCCCTGCCTTGCAGACACACCGCTCCAACCCTGCAGCTCTGCATGGTCACTTCCCTCCGCACGAGCCTGTGTGTCCCAGTGTCGCTGTCTGTAAGGACGCCAGTCACATCAGGTTAGGGCTGATGGCCTCATTTTAACTCAGTTACCTCTGAGAAGTCCCTAGTTCCAAAAAGTTACATCCCAAAGGCCTGAAGATCACGACTTCAACATACGCTTTTGGAGGGGAAATAACGTAACTTATAACACCTCCCTGGAAATCTTGAAGAAATGTCCCACTCTCAAAACGAAAACAAAAAGCAGCTTCCACCACACTCATGGCAATCTGCGGGCTCCTTCGCAGGTCACACGGGCCCAACTTCATCGCTTCTGTGGCTGCTCACCCACACTCTAGCAACCTCCCTGCTCTGTGACCGCATCGAGACCCCAGGCCCTTTGCACGCACTCCCCCAGCTCCACAACAGGCTGCTCTCCTTTCCTCGGCCAGGTCTCTGCTTACGAGTCACCTGTCTGGGACCTTCCCATCGAAGGCAAATGCCGCCCCAACCCCTCCTCATCACATCCCTTTCACCCCTGGCTCTGCTTCACCGAAGCTTCATTTTTTGTGACCACGTTGGCTATTTGTGATGTACTTATTTTTACCTACTTCCCTCTGGACGAGGACAGAGTGCATTCCATTCACATGGCGTCCCAAGCACAAAGAACTACCTCCCCCAGCCATTTGCTGAACAGACATAGGCTCAGAGCCGAGCCCGTGTCTCCAGGCGGGGCAGCACCCCCGTGGGCCGGAAGGAGGAAGGATGGAAGGAGCCGCAGCAGGGTGGGTTGGCACTGACCACTCACGAGGGTGCCAGACAGCTCAGGGGTGACGTGCGGTCCTAGCAGCACAGGGCTCCCAGTGCCTTCTGGAAGTGTGGGACATCTGTGACGCCACCGCGCTCGCTGTCCTGCCCAGCCCTCCTGTGACACTCCGCAGGATCTCAGGGGACACCAGACCTGGGCTGTGGGCACGGTGGTCTGGGGTGGTGGGGAGAACTGTCCGCCTTGGGAGCTGGGCGAAATCTGTTCACCTACCAGGGCCCTCTGCCTCGCTGACTCCAGGTTGTAACCAACGGAGTTAATCGGCCGCAGGCATCGCCCAAGTAGCTGCAGACAAATGAACCCATGTCAGACATTTCCTCAGCCGAGCGAGCCGCTGCTGAGTTCCCTTCGCTCTGGGGCTTGTATTTCAACAGATTAGAATAATATGATACTATTACCGTTTTATAGAGCCCAGAGCGGCGGCCGGGCTGGGTGAGCCGGCTCCTCCCTTGCACCGTGCGCTGATGGTAGCCAGCACGCCGCCCCCCTTTCTTATCCCTGGCTCGCTGTGGCAGCCTTCAGGGGCCTTCTGCAGGCCCAGGCCCACAGGTGACGCCCCGGAACACACGGTAGAGGACAGCAGTGGGTGCGGGGAGGTGGCACCGGTTCTGCCGTTGCCTCTGCTGTCACACGCAGGTGCTCTGCTCATTCCCGTCTTCTTTACCGGCCCTTCGCACCCCAATCTGCGGCCATCATCATCATCATCATCTTATTATTATCCTCAGCTCCGTTTTAGGATCAAACGCTTTTAAGGTTTCAGTAAGGGGCTCTGTCAGCGGAAGTCACCTAGCAGACTTCCCGCGGTGACGCTGGGTCACAGGATGCCACAGCGGGCTGCACTCCAGGCTTCAGAGGTGCCCTGGATCTCGGATTCCTCAGATCCTTCCGGGAGCGCCGTTCTCTTGCATGCGGGGCCTCTCTGCCCTTGACTTACTCCAGGCAGCTGGATACAATCAAGATACCATCCTCGCCACTTCATCTATAACTCTGCAGCTGACTGCAGGATCGAAACGGAGGGAAGGGGAGCGGGACGGCGCTCTCTAATCCGCCCCGGTGTAGAACGAAGTCGATTATGGATACAGTAAAGCATTTTCCCAGCCAGAGAGCCCTCCCCCACAGCTCCTCACGGCTCCCCACCCCCAACTCCAACGCAGCTTCTTTCTTCCTACCCCGGGGAGTTGCCCTGGGGTCAGCTCTTGCGGTCCTGCCAGATGCCTGTGCAAGCTGTAGCGTGGGCATCTGAAACTCCACACCGTGCCTCTGTAGTGCCAGGAATGGTGCTTCCACGGCCTGTCCAAAGCACAGAGCCTCTAAAGCCCTCCGGGTCCCAAGTCTGCATCTATTTTTAATCATGTACATCATTGTGGACAGAGTCTGTCTCTCAGGAGAGACTCTTTGTGTTGCTCAGGGCCCTGGACACAATGTGACAGTGTTTGCCTTTGGGCCACCACACCACTGTTCCAACGTGGATTCTAACACTGAACCACAATTTTCCAGCTCCTCTTTCCATTCTAATTTCCGTACTCTTGGCCCCAAATGCCTGTTGCCTGATCAGAGGCATAGGCGCCTCTCTGGACTCCCAGGTGTGCCTACTTGGCCACTTTGTAATTTTTTTTTTTTTTAATTAAAAACAAAACAAGCCAGGCCTGGTGGCACACGCCTGAAATTCCAGCACTCAGGAGGCTGAGGCAGGGGGATTGTCATGAGTTCAGGCCAGCCTGGGCCACATAGTGAGTTCAAGGCTGGCCTGAAACACATAACAAGACCCTGTCTCAAAAACAAAACAAAACAAAACAAACAAAAGCCCCAAAGCCTGGGGAGTTCTTTTGTGCCTTCCCATTACCACAGGATCAAACTAAGAATTTCCATTTGGCTTTGAAAGCCCTCCAGGCAAGTGAGACTCCTACAGAAAGTGCACTGGGGGCCATGGGCCCGCACACCCAGGATGAGCTCCACAGCTGGCCTATTCAAAGTGGCTGCTTTCATTTTACTGTCTGCAAAATGAGGGCTTGGGTTCTGCAATGTCTAACGTCCTTGGAGGGGCCAAGCTCTTGTATCTTCCTCCTCACTGAGCTGTTCCCAAGGAACTAACCCACCAGCTGCACAACAGCCTGGCCTGCTCCTCTAACTTAAATGCCATGCGCACACGGGTGCCTGAGGTCTTCCTGAAAAGAGGCTGGCTCGGATCAGGGCCGTGTGCTAACCACAGGCGGCTGCAGGAAGCAGGCGGGGAGCCAGGTAGGTGCAGCGCAGGTGGCGCCCATCTGGCCATGCGGACCTGAAACCACGGGCCAGCACCAGGAGAATAGCCGCACTCTGAAGCCGCAGTGGTCACGCGCTCACGGCCGGGTTCCGCAGGGAGGCTGTGGGGGTGGGGAGGAGGTGGGTGTGGGGCCAGGATCAGGACTTGTAAACTAAGACAGGGGGCAGGAACTGGCAAGGAAAACAGGGGAGTAGAGATCCAGGGTCACTCCCCTGCGCCCCGGGTTCATGTCTTTCCTTGCAGCTGCCTCCAGAGTTTTGCCTCTCTTTAATCAACCAAGTGGCACAGAACTCCAGCACACCGGCTCCAACCTCATCCTATGCCTGGGTCAGCGAGGCCAAG